TAATGAGTGTTTGGATTTACACAGGAAGGGAAGAAAATCTGAAACCGTGACTCGTCAAGTTCTTACCACGGAGCTTACTTATCCTCTCCTTTGTCAACGGTCTTGGAGGGGGTCCCTGAAACTGGAGGGCAAACTCCCAATCTGAACCAGGCTATGGAAACAGCGGTATCACTGATTAGGAATTAGGAACGTAAGGAGATGGTGAAATGTGCAATAAATAAAAGGAATTAGGAACGTAAGGAGATGGTGAAATGTGCAATAAATAAAAGGAATTAGGAACGTAAGGAGATGGTGAAATGTGCAATAAATAAAGATGATACAGTGATACCACAGTCGCAGCAATCTGTCACTGTTACTTCTGAGAGCAAAACCACTGACTTCCGGTATGGACGGCTGAATGAGTCAGGAGCTGGACTCTGTGACGTTCAATGGAAGGACTATAAAATGGTGAACGCCGTCTGTGTGCCTCCTTCTCCCGTCCGTCTACCCATCTATCCGTTCGTTCTTGCAGCCTCCACCCATCTGAGTGACGTTCAGCTGATGTTAACAGTGTGTGTTCTGGGGGGTGTGGAGGGTCTTCTCTCCCCGCCTTTTACTAGCTTCTATTGCCTGAGTGTTTTTATGATACACATGTATCGTATTTACAACAGATACAAAATCATTTTTCTAAACGAGGAAATTTCCCTCTCAATGTTTATTATTATGAATCCCAGAAGTGAAGTTTTTTGCACACACGGCACATTTCCAACGACAAATGACAACATGAGGGTCCGGAGGTAACAGCGGAAGGGCCAGCATGAAGGGGTCAGTTATGCGGACACACAACTTCCTCTCGGTTACCCCTTGGCGCCCCTTGGCCAGGTGAACTTCTAGCAAAAGCCCTGATGAGTCGGTGTTCTAGCATCAGCCCTCTCCTGTCCGCGTCCACTGCTTGGTGCTCACTCTTCTCTACTACACTTCATTCTTTTTTATTTTTATTTTAATTTTTATTTTATTTTATTTTATTTTATTTGGTAATTGGGTATATTCATTTATTTCTATTTGGAGGACGTGCTGGGGATTGAACCTGGGACCTTGTGTATGTCAAGCATGCGCCCTATCACTTGAGCTATACCCTTCTACTCCAAACTCATTCTACTCAGAGCAAGCCGGCTAGTGGTTCTAATCACAGCTCCGCTTACCCTGCTCAGACCCCTGCCCTGGCTCCTCGCTGCTCCCCACGCAACACGAGAACACGCAGCCTCCAGGATTGGGGCCAACCCTGTCATTCTGGTCTTACCCTCTCAGGCCTTCTCATGCGGAAAACACCCAGCTCAGGGGGCCTGGGAGTGTTTAAACTCCGCCTCCACAGGGATGCTAGATCTGGCTAGCTGACTAAGGATGGACATGGAAAAGGCAGAAAAACAAACTTAACAAAGTGGTTAATATTTGTTCATTAATGCTTAAAGTGTCTTACTGAGATAAGTAGTAAATAGTCTGTTTTTTGCCTGATGGGAGGGGAAACAGAGCCACAGAATTCAGTATTTGGGACACCCCCACCCCAATAAAAGTATCATTATCTTGAAATGAAATAGTTTATTGGTGGATCAGAACTAGAATTCAAAATTATCAGTTCTCTCCAATAATTCCTCTGAAAAGTAAGAACGCCAGCGTGGCAGATTTTAAGCAATTTGGTGCCAGGTATTATATAAACAGAAAGCCACTTACGTACCCGTTCGCTCTGCTGAGGTCATAATTGAGATCTGCATTCTTTCAATATTTAACTAAAGTAAAGATTTAGGCCATGGTAGTCCCTACCATGAAGGATAGATTGGCTATATTTTAACAGATACAAAGTTAACAGGTTTATTTTACTAAGAGAATTGAACAAAGTGGAAGGCCCTCCTGAAAGAGTAATGTACTCGAGTGACACTTCAGTTAAGAAAGTGCAGACAACTGTACAGATTCCAGGAGCAAATCTCCGTACAGTTAATTTCTGAAGTCCCTGTTTCATATCTTCTGTACTAAAATCGTCCAAGGAAGCTGAGTGAGATTTTGTTTCCAGCGCTCAGATCAGATGGACTTGGAGGACAGTCATCAGCATCTGACTGTTGTTGTTGGCTGAACGCGTTTGCCTTCATTTCCTGAGTGGACATCTCGGCTCAGGGAGTGAAGGCGGGGAGGGGGAGCTGGCCTCGTCACACACCTGGGAGCGGCTCTACTGGCCCTGGGCGGGGACGGCATCTTCTCGTGCACACACTTGCTCGTATCCCCGGGCCTCAGTGTGCACAGACAATGACCAAGTGATTCATAGCTTCACCGCCTGTCCAGTCACTCTGGAAGCTCAGTGAAAGTGCTGAGATGCAGCAGGACAGGAAAGCAGAGGGCGCCCGGCCCGCCGTGCCCGGGGGGCGGTCAACAGTGCAAGTTGAAAAAAAATCACAAATGTTTGCAAATACTCTTAATTAGGACTTCAGTGTCAGTAAGGTTAAGAAGCAACTAGGAATCTTCGTGTTTTAACTTTCATCCCTGCTCATGGTGCAGAATGCCCAAGAAATCAGCTCCTCACCTACGTTCCGGGAGCCCCCGAAGCAGCGGAGGCGTACCCCTCTCTTGAGGAAATAGGCTGTGATCTGAAAGCCGTAACCTGTAAAATGAAAGAGGACATCATTAGATTAGAAGCTTGTTTGCCATTGGATCCCTCAGGCCCAGCCCAGCGCCTGCCATCCAGGGAGCACTCAACAATTATGTCGCAATGAAAGAGCAAGAGGGCTGGAGAGGGCCTCGCTGGAGAGGACAAGGGACACAGTGCAGGCCTAGCTCTTCTGGAGGCCGGGCCGTGGCAGCTGGGATGGCCTGCAGTCCCGGCAGCGGCCCGGAAGTTACTTTATTTGCAAAATGGAAATGAATGAAGAGGTCTGATTAAACAGGCCTAACAATCAGGCCCTTTCAGGTAGGATGATTAATTCAGGCCGAGCTGGTGCATTGATTGGGGCCACCTTCTGGTACTCATTACTTACCAGCTCACAAAAAGAAGAGTTTAACACCTACTGAAGATGGGTGTATTTTGCCTGTAAATAAGTTATTACAATTCAAGTACAGTAAAGCCTTCGTGTAGGATGAGCTGAAAGAAATATGACAAGAGCCACCCCCTACCCTCCCAAACAAAAAGGAGGAAGAAAGAAAAGTCTCCAATCCACCAGAATGGCTGAACTGAAGAAGGCCAAGAGTGCCAAGTGCTGGGGAGAACGTGGGGGCCGGAGTTCTCCTGCACTGCCGGCAGGAGCGCCACACCTGACAGCTACTTGCAAAAGCCACTTGAGTATCTAAAGCTGAACTTAAGCATCAGCATACGGTGTCATAATGCCACTTTTCACAACAGTCCCAAACTGGAACCAATGCAAATATCCATCAAAAATAGAATTTTTTAAATTGAAAAACGGGGGGCAGGTAATGGTACACAGTGCCATGCTACACTGCCCCCCAAAATGAAGGAGCTACAATGACAGGACATCTCAGAACGAAATCTCGCAAACACAATGGTAAGTGAAGGAAGCCTGGTCCGAAGGAGGGCATTCTGGCTGTGACAGTGGGGACATTACCATTCATCTTAGAGAGTGGCAACAGGATTTCTGAGAGTTCACAGAAAGTACCAGCACAGTTCCTCCCTCCTCTGCTCCCCTTTTCCATCCTTGCAACCCACCTCCATGTATAAACTACCCTGTTGATGACTTTCCTGAAAAGATCAAATGAAAACGTCCGGTTTATGAAGTCGAGTCCTTGGTGTGGGAATCAGAAGAGAAAGGCCCACCAAAGAGGGGTGAGGGCTCCCAGGCTCTGAAACAACCTCAGGAAATTGCTAATCCTCAGAGACAGTACTTGATCCATGAAATTGAAAGGAGTTAAGAGGTGGTCTCCAGGCCCACTGGACTCTCCCAAGACCGTGACTATGAGTGTTTTGAAATAACTTGTATATAAAGAGCACAATTAAAGAATTTTCTCGTTTTACATGCAAGTATCCCTCTGCCACCCTCGTAGAAAGATCCAGAACATCAGTGACCACAGACTTGATGGTCTGTCTACACAAGTTACGGCCCTGACAGCACAACTGCTTTGGTCACGGGGATTTTGAAATACCAGTGACATCTATGATAGGATAATCTCCAGATTTACTGAGATGAAGTATATTTTCCTCCTAACACACTTGAAATGGACTGCCTTTTGGTCATGTGGCTTTCTTCTGCTTAAAATGTCAAACAAAATATGCATACCACTGGCATTATTCTGAGTGCTTTAAAACAAATACTTCGGTCCTGACGTCACCTGGAGACTAGAAGTGACATCCACATCTGTTTGTCCTACTGCTGGGGGAGGGGGATTGTAAGAGAGCAGTCCTTAACAACTTGGGACACAGAAATGCACAAAGAAAAGTGATTTTCAAAGTAATGATTCATACTGTGAGTTTACCAGAGGATGGAAGAACAGTAAGAACAATACAAAAACAAAAACAAAAAAGCAACATCTAAGTCGTTCTGCCTTTGCTACCAAATCACGCTTAACACTTAAGAGCTCCAGGTGATCAAGATTCAGATGGCATGTCCGGATTTTCAAAAATCTTTTCCCTGCACAGAATCTCCAGCAACAAAATGTTATTAGTAGGAAGGGGCTTAAATCTGGAGGTGACTGTGCAAACTCGGGGGCAGGAAGCCTGGGATCTGGAGATACCACTGGAGTCATAAGTAAGTCCTGCTCAGTCAGCTGTCTCAGTATGACACCTTCCCCTACGGAAAGATAAAGCGGTACCAGTCAAATTCTGACTGATTTCCTACTGACATTACTAGGTGAACTGAGTTTATTAAAATCGTTCCTCCTCTGGCCCCCGCCCCCAGCATTATGTTAAAGGGAATCATTCCTGAGCTGGTGCCTTATTACGGTTTCAGTGGAAAACCCTGCCTAATGGCCCCTACAAGAGAGATGGCAAGTTTACCATGTAGAAGAGATTTGCACCTGCTTAGTTCAAAGTCTGCTGGTCACAAGAAACCTTACTGTTTCAAGAGAAACTTGAAGAAAAATAAAACACAAAAAGTATTTGTGCCTGTGCTTATGGCAAATTAATTTTAGTATGTAAACTAAGCAACTCACTGCTGCTGGAATATACTGAGCTGAAATGCTTGGGGAGATGTATTTCACTCACCATAGATAACAGGAAGTGACAGAGACCACATTATCTTTACTCTTTAATGAAACTGATTCACAGAGTTGACAGGGCACTGAGATTCTGTACTCATCCAGGTCGAAAGCAAAGCTCCACTATTCTCAAAAGCTAAACAGCAGCCTGGCAAAGAACCCAGGAGGCCCTCTGCTTCCCACTCTCGGAGGGCCAGCCCGCAGCTTGCCACACGGATGTTCTAAATGCACAGAACTGGGGTCGGGGCCCGGGGCCGAGGAAAGACGCAGAATGGAAATCATAAAGTGATAAACTTTTCATCTGAAAACTACCTGGTAGTGGCATTCTGAGATCCAGAAGCACATTTCAATCATATTTAAGGATGTCTGTTATCCTGCTAGCTACTGTGGTCCTCCTTGCCCTGAAAAAAACTGTCTTTTAGCCACAGAAAGAGACTAGGGTTAGAGAGAGGATAGCTTTGTAGTGAAAATCTCTTTCCACCAGGAATTTTCAGGTATGTCTACTTCTAGAAATAATTTACATTTCTGCACTGCTGAATGTCGTGTTACATCTGGTACCAGCAGGAAGCCGTTTTCTCCCCTGGCCTCTGAGCAGCCCCAAGGGTCTCCAGGCCCGTGCCTCCCACACACCAGACTTAATAAATTGCTGCTGGGCTTCTCACTCCCTTTCCACGGACAACCTCGCAAGCCCCAGTGAAGCCCCAAATGATGGCTTGGAACATTAGCTTTCTTCTGGCTCACCTGGTTGTTCACCAAAGAACATTAAGTATTGAGGGAAAAAAGGAGTCAGGGGTCAGTAATATTTGTGAGAGAAAGAAAGGGCGGTCCATGTTTTAAGGACAGAGTTCTGCTATTTTATTTCACATTCTGTCTAAAATAAAACTGCCCCAAATGGCTTTATTAGAAATTCAGAGACTTCATGAACAGAAAGGGGAAAACAAACAAACAAAAAATCAAATATGAGTTGAACAAATTCCATCCTGGCTCAGTTTTAAGTAGTTCCGCGCTCCAATGAGCAATACTTTTTAAGGGAGTGGTCATTTATTTGGGTTGTTCTATTTCATAGTCCCAAGACACTAAGAGCAAATACCCAAAGTGGAGTTTTTACTGTAAAACTATCCAGCTTCGCTTGCTTTCCAGGGGATTCATGGCCAAGGTGATCTGAGCTTCCCAGGACTGCCGAGGGGAGGCTGTGGTCTGGTGCGTCACAGCGGAAAGCCTTCTCCCACGGCGATGATGAGACCATTCACGGGGAGCCTGGGAAGCCGCCTCTGTGTGACCTGCTGAGCCACGGACGTCCTGGCAGGTAAGCACGACTCACAGCGGGCTCCACCCACCGCTGCGTGGCTCTCCGCCAGTACAGCCTTCTCCCAAACCACAAGGCAGTCTGAGGAAGACCTGCTGCGCCCCACACGCTTCTCCCCCTCAGATGACTTCTTCCTCAGTATCATCGCTCATAAGCGTGAAAACCTGTAAACATCCAAAAAGTGGACAAACAGTGCCCACCCAAAAGCCCACCACCTGGACTCAACGATGGTTAATATTGTGTCATATTTCAGACTCACACTTGCCAAACCATTTCAAAACAGATATCATGACACTTTGCTCCTAAAGACGCAAGCACAGACTCCCAAACAATGAAATTCTCCTACATCACAAACTACGATGGTCATACCTGACGTGACATTATTGCTCAGTCAGATCCAGTCCGTGTTCAGACTCTCAAACGGCCCCTAAAATGCGTATCACTGGTTTTCCTCCTCAACTAGGAACTAACCAAAGGCCATGCATTACATCCAGTTTTGTCTGTTACATCTCCTGGAATCTAGAATAATCTCCTCCCCACCTTTTCCCATAACTCTGACCTTTGAAAGAGATTAGGCCAGGCCGCCTCTCTCACTCCCTCCTCTCCAGAGACGGCCCGCACTCTGTGGAGTGTGTATCCACTTTTACTCTAACCCACGCACCCAACCCCCGCACCTCGTGGCCTTTCTCTTGCCTTAGGAAACAGTCTCCACTCTATGCATTAGGTATCTCTCTAAATAAATCTACCTTTACACAACTGTGGCTCACTCTTGAATTCCTTCCTGCACAAAGCCAAGGACCCACACTTGGCGGGGCACATGGCAGGGGGCCCAACGGAGACCTGGGACATGGCCCTCCTCACATCTCACAACCATTTTTCCTACATCATCTCTCTGGCATCCAACGTGGGGCATTTAATTAGAGAAACGGGGCTCAAAGGGCATAATCTCGATACGCCTATTGGGCTATGGCTCCCCTCTCTTCGGAGGATGGCGGGGGGTTTCTCCTGCGCCGTGCAGATTCAAGTAGCCCTTTAGGTGGTGGCGGATGCTGCCTGCAGGATCTGGCAGAGACCAGCTCTCTAGCCGTGAAGGAGCCCACCGAGCCCAAGGCTTTTCTCCCCTCGATCTTTTCTCTTTCTCCTCTAATGCTAGA